CATTTTTATCATCCTCCTAATCATCATTTTTATCATCCTCCTAATCATCATTTTTATCATCCTCCTAATTATCATCTTTATCATCCTCCTAATCATCATTATCATCCTTCTAATTATCATCTTAATCATTCTCCTAATCAATATCCTCCAAGTGTCTATAAACATCATTATTCCTCTTCACACAATCATCACGATGAAGAAATAAATGAGTGAATGGAGATGTGAAAAACTGAACAAGGAGACCAACCTGCATCACTGGTTCTTGTTTGATATGATCTAATCCTACATGTTCCTTTGTTAATTGATAAGTCAAAGCCATTATTCTAATATCAACTGCAGATAAGCTTGGATAATCACCAGTCTTCTTCGCAAACTGTGTAACTAGTAAATAATACAATGAACACTTGTTGTGATCTTTGGTAATAACATCATTTCTTACATGATTGGATGTTTTTTTTCAGAACAGGAATTGTATAGCAAATATTCTGGTGTCTATTTTCAGTAGTGAAGCAGAGAAAACAGACTGAGGCAGTTGGGGGGAGTCAAAAGTAGTCTGATCAATAGCGGAATAAAAAAAATCAGTCAATCATGAAAGCTCTCTGGTTGCTTTGATGTTTTGTGTCAACACATAATATAACTCCCCTTTTTATGTACAGGAAAAGTAAAAATTATCAGTGACATAATGGGTTTCAGCAAAAAAATTATTAGATTGAATCACAAAACATTTCCTCTGACTTCAAAGAGATTTAATAATCAATACACAAGATATACAAACCAAATCGGACACAGTCTGGTGGTGGTTCTCGGAATATAATTTCATATGGTGCAATGGACAACCTCTTCTTTGTTTCATAATCTCTGATCTCGCGCACCACATCTTGGATTGTATAGACATGTTTGGCAATGTCCTGCAAAAATCACAGTGAGGAGTGAATGTTACTACATATGGTTCAGTAGAATACCACAGTGCCTTGTTTTACTGCTACACTAATCAGAGTCTCCCACAGTAATTATCTTGATTACCACAGTGCCATTTCCACTGTGCTGACTTTTTAAATCAAATTGATAAGTTGCTGAAAACTTAAAACTTGTGTGTGGTTGTAACACTCTTGAAAGATTGAATAAAAATAATTTTGTGCATTTTGTAGTTGAGTAGGTTAATCATCACAATTTCCGTTAGGAACAATTCATTTTTGATGCCTCAGTGTTTAAATTTCTGGGAAGAACACTAGTTGTTATAATAGTCGCTCAATATAATCGGCCAATAACAACAATTAGCGATCTGTATCTAGTACAAAGTACCCGTGTTTAATTTATTTTTTGGAGAATATAAAAACCATGATGGTAATGCACATGTATTAGACCACCATGTTTTAAATACACACAATGTTTAAAGGCAGTGGTTGTTGTGCTGCATCCTGTTCGATATAGGACTCATAGCGACATACACAACGCATGTAAAATGCATTTTTGTTGATATGAAATTCGAACACGCGCTGCACAACGACCACAGCCCTTTAAGGAAAAATTGTATTTTTACATTTTTGCAAAAAGCAGCATTACTTTTTAAAACCCAGATTTTTGAAATAATTTAGAACAACAATACATCATACCCTAGTACCCCATCATTCACAATATATGATTTCTTTCAGCTTACAACATGTATGTAACCCGCCTACAATTTAAGATATCCCATATCTTTGCCAAAGAAACCTAAGCGATTATAATACTAACTAAATGGTCACCAATCGCTAAAATACGACCATTATTTTATGAAAATTCGGCTGGTGACCCACAACACTGTTTTTTTAAGTCGATATCCTTATATTACCTGGAAGTACAATTTATTTCAAATGAATAAATTCTGGATACCCGGTATTTGCATTTATGTAGGCTTCTTTCATTGAAATTGGTATGCATGTGGAGTCTCTGCTGAGGCACCATGAAACAAACTCCGTGGTAAATAGTCGTGATGCTGGTGACCCACTTCGATAAAACAAACTAAACTAGTACCTGTAACTGTGCATTTTTGATAAACGCAGCCGAATCCACCACCACATGTTCAGCAATATCGGAAGCCATGATTGCGTAAGTTAGAAATAAGAGGGCGCTGCATTGTGCAACCTCGTTCAAACAATTGTTTATTGCAAAATGAGTCGGTAAAAAATAAACTAGTTTGCGAAGCTAAATATAATGTCCTTCATATTACTATAATTTTTCATACATTATCCCTTTTGGTCTAGATTTAATAAGATAAATATTGGATTGATGATAGTCTTTCAAATTCATATTTTGAGAAAGGCTGCTTTACATCACTACAATCACGTGACTTACCTGCGATGGCGGATCTATCTCCAAAAACTTTGCGTATAAGTTCGATTGTAGTTTGAAAGTTTTATAGTCTTTCTTCGTCATTAGGGCATATTCTGATCGTTGAAAAACAAACTGTAAGTGTTGTCCTTTCTGTCTGTTTTACTATATTAATTATATTATTGTTTACAATTGTAATGGATCGTCACAAAGAGAGCTGTTTTTACATTTAAAAAAACAAGATGGCTTCTTTCCCATCTAAAATAGGACAAAATCAGAGTTGGAATTAGGGATAAAATAGACATCGTGGTGACAAATTCTGTTTATTGCTTAATGGTGTGTCATATAACTGTTGTGATTATCGTTGGGAGTAGCACCGGTTTTTATTTCAACCTGTAAGTAATAACGACTATAGTAATAGCATAAATGTGACATCCGCGTTAGTCGCCGTCTGCCGGAGTCCTGCTCACCGGTAAACAGGAAAACCTCAGAAATTCTTCAAACTTGGGCTATTAATACACGTAATT